GTTGAGTATGTAGGTCTCGATGTCTAATGTATTAGCCATAGAGCATCCGAGTCCTTGGATCTTAAACTTCGCTGGGGAACGGCCTGTAGATGGTTGAAGTGGCAAGCTACCACCTTGTATTACTAGTACAGTTAACTCAATCAACTCCGTGGTATGTAGGTATCTCCTCCCAAAATCGCAAGCCCGTAGTAAACGCCTATATCCTGACACCGGCTATTTAACCCGCAATTACTCCCAATAGCAAAATCCTGGACGCCGATAAAACACCTTCTTTAATGTCTCAATATGGACCCCTGGTGGATGTGTTCAAGTCCAGCATGAACGCTCACTCGCCGGAGCACACACATGTACTTGCATACCTTAGGTTCCCTCCAAGTACAGCCCTTGGTACAGCCACGGGCTATTGAAATGAACTCTGCTGGCGACTGTCCCCACGTCTAACCCCAATTGTGCTGCAACGCCTTTTTCGCCGGAAATAATTTCGCTGGATCTTTGGACTCGTCTCCAATTCATGATTAATCAATAAGTCGTTCTTCCTGGGTGTTCCTCTTCCGCGCTCAGTCTAGACGCGTGATAATCTCTGCCGATTCTCATGAGAATATCTCGTGTGTCAGAAGACATGGCTACGGTGGATGGCCCTGCAACATCGCTCGTTGTAGATTGCCTGGCCGTGTGTGAAGATTCGGACAGTGCTCGATGTTTCCGCTTGTCAACCTTGTGTTTCCGCCTCCGCATACGTGGGATGTTGCGAATAGCATGGAGACAGCTCAAGGCCGCCTCTTGGGAAGATCGGTAAGGTAGTCGCCCGCTTTTTCGGTGGCTGGATAATACAGAGAGTGCCTCGTCGATCTCCTTCTGGGCCTTGTCAAAATAGCCCTCGTCCGGGTCCACGAGCTTGTCATCTACTTCGATGGGAGAGTCGTCTACTTCCATGACCGGGTTGAGTATTTGGGCGCTTGAGGGTTGGGAAGCTGATTCATTTTGCGACCCAGGTTGACATGAAGGTGTCTGTCCTAGGCTAGGAACTGCATGATCTGATGCGATTCCCAAGTGAGTATTCGGGTGGCATGTCCAGCGGATGGCCGCTGATGGTTGTGTTGGGGTGCCTGGGCGACTGTCGATAATGGCTGCTGAATGGCTGGCCACACCACCGAGGTCGCCATCTTGGAGGATGAGTGTCGATAATGGCACGAGGGATTGGACAGGTGGGCCTGACGAGTTGGTTTCGAGAGTCTGCCGCCCCAGACTGTAGGCCAACTTCTCGATATGTAGGTGAGTTTGGAGGTTAGTGCGGTGCCGTTTCCGCGTCCAGTTCGGTAAAGATGAATCCCGTCGCCGTCTGGCGTTGCCCGAGTCCACGGGGATGTGCTGGGGCAGATGTTGGTCGGCTAGTGAAGACGAAGCCTGTTGGTCAACGTCGTCGTTGTAAAATTCCATCGTCCTCTCGGGGGCATTCTCGAAGCGGCCATCCATGCGCTTTCTCAAGAACCGAGAGCCGTCGACAGCAGGTGAGGCAACCAGATTGCCGGGCCATGGAGCGATGGGGGTGGAGGAATTATGTAGACAGTCAGCTGGAGGATGATGTAGCCTGACTTTTGATGGCTGGCGCCGTTGCGGAGACTCTAGTTAGTTCGACTTTTGTTTTACAGCCCATCCAGCCGGCACCTCTACTAATCAGCCTCTGATCAGCAAGCCTGCGCAGACTACCTCCGTAGTGTCAAGGTAGGGATCGGAATTGTCAATCGACAAGAAGCAGCTCGCGCTAGTTTAGAGGTGCGCATTGGCGTCGAGGCTGGACCAGTGCTGGCGCTGGTGTGGACAGTTAGTCCTGCGGCCCAGGCAAGGATGCGTCGACTGCACGATACCCGACCTAGACCGGCGTTGCAAGCTTGCGACGGTACAAACTGGGGTTGACAAGCGCAGTAGGGTGTGGGCCCAGGGCCAGGTGCTCCTTTTCACTATCGAATTTCGAGCCGGAGGCGTAGGGAGGCCATTGGGAGGAGACACGATGTTGGCTCTGGGCAGTGAGAGTGACTGGGACCGACCAGGTCGAGACTCGTCCTGACGCACAGACGAGCAGGCAGCCAGACAAAGAGAGAACCGACACAGTGGACCGCTGACGACCGCGTGGTCTGCTGCAGGTGCAGTGCAGCGCAGCGTACAATAAGCAGCAAGCCCAATGGCCAGTCAATGCAGCATCCTGGCAAGATCGGAATGCTCTATCGGTGGGGTTGCTTCCAACTAGCGCCGTGCAAACAGGCTGGCCCCCAAGCCGCTGAGGGGAGTCGCCAGGCTAAATCTGGACGCTATCGCCATGGATCCAGTGGACATTTGCGCCTGCTCCTTCAATCAGCCTGCTGAGGCTCCTATCGGGGCCCGAAACTCTTGAAGGATTCGCCCACAGGGCTTCCAAACCACCTGCGTCCTGCCCCAAGCGGAATCGCGAGCCAACTAGTCGCGACGGCCATAGCTGGCTCACCATGGTAGATCTACACATCCTCTCGCTGTCACACCCTTTCGCTGTCGATCGAAACGAAACGCACGAGGTGTGTGTGCTCCAGCGACGCACGCCATGCCTCCAGCTGTTGCAAGGGGGCTTTGCTAGGGCGCCCAAGATCCAATGATGTTGCGCCCCAGAACGGCGCCGGCAGTATCTGGGGCTGGAAATTACAAAAGCAAGCTAGAGCAAAGATGGTCTGATATGCCGAAGGTGGGACAGGCATTGAATGAATCGTGGGTTTGGACATCCAGGGGCATTTCATATTGCGTTGCAGTCCCTGGTTTTTGGTACCGGCAGACTGTTTATGAACGCACAGTCCTGTACCGATGACCCGGGTCGCTGGTATTATGCACTTTTGGTTGCAATGCGCGCAGATCGGCCTCACAGATCGACCCCTAATTGTGACAATTAATGCAATGTGCTATATGCCCAGGGGACGTTTGGCCAGGAGAGACTAGAGGACCTGAGGCAAGCCCACTTTGTCTGCTCCGAACCCCCTGCTCAAACTAGAGGGACCAAGAGCACGCCGACAACCGCTACTAGGCCATCATAGTTTACACGAATTCCTTTCCCAATGTACACGAGTTGCTCTCCCGTATCTTCGTCAGGCGTCAGAGTTGTTGCTATAGACTTCAAAAGCATGCACGGCGAAGGGGCACTGCACCCTGGTTGGCACCGAGAGAGATAGGGTCAGCTGCATTAGCTTTCTGACCAGCACCAATCAATCATGACCGAGTGAGACACAGGCCGAGTAGGATCTGCGAACGTGAATACCCACTGCGTTTGAGATTTCCGATGTCTCTCCTTCACGCGACGTGACTGGCCAACTGAGCAGAAGCCTCAACCATTAGCATCACCTATCCGGCAGCAAATCAACTCCAGATTCCGTATTGACGACTGCCGTGGTCCCGCAGTAATGGCCTGAGTTGGTTGCACACCGCATCGATGGCAATCTTATCTTTGCACGCACGAGCCGCCTTGGACTGACTCGGGCGTGTTGTTGGGCTGAGCTGACTCCACGTGGAATGCCAAAGCGCCATTCTGGAATACGGGCTGAGAACACCAGAGTCCCGACTCTCTGGCCCAGCTCCGCTTTCAGGCGACAGAGCAAGCCCTCGCATGACCTGTCTTATTGTTCTGTTGAGATGAAACGCTCGACGCCTTTCCCAGCTGCCTGGACTGGAGGGGCGGCTGTCGCAGGGATCGCCGAGCGGCCAGAACCAAAATACTACATGTGCCGCCGTGGCTTACTTCTCGTAGCAATTGCTCCGGTAATCTCACGCATGCAAATCATTCAGTCGGTCCAAGTCACGGAGCCTGTGTGCGATCTCAAGGCCTGTTGACGTCCGTGCTATTTAGGCCTCATCCCCCGCTCCTCTGAGGGGGATGGATCCTGGTGCCAATCTTGGGCCAACCCGTCCTGTATGCCACGAACATGACGTTGGGTGAGGGACACCGCTTCGCTAATAGAGGATCAATCTTAACAAATAGCAGACCAACTAGTGCGTATATATGATTGAGAGCCAGCGCCCGTGTCTCGCATACACGCGTGGAGCAGACTGCAGATTGTCCTGAAGCTGTTATTTTCAATAGTTCAGGTGAGTTCCTAGGTAGAATACGGAACGTCTTTTAATGAAGACTGAAGGCTTCGAGAAATGGCCCCCATCTTCCCGCCTCGGCAGTGTGAAAATAATTGCCAGATACAACATCGGATCTCATCAATCCAGTGGGCCATGGCAGACCAATAATTAGCTTAATTCCAGCACACAGCTTGTCTTTGTGTTTCCTCACTGGCTCCTGCCGAGGCCATTGGTGTAGACTGGTTCCCCGCGCTAGAGGTTGCACGAGATGAACAGCAATTGCATTTGATTGAATCCTTTTCAGGGCCACGTTGTGAACCAAGCGCTGCTGGTCGTAGCTAGGATTGGCTGCCTTGAGAGCTTGGACGGGGCCCGGGATTGCACCAACCAGAGTCTAAATGGACCAGACCTACGTAAGCCGTGTGAAGTAAACAAAGACGATGCATTTGGGCGCTTAGATGCAGCGCCGAGTGCGCAGCGTGACGAGGCCTCCTCGAGGCACGCAATCTATCTGAGTTGTCCATGTGCACCACAACGCTGTATTTATGAGTATCTACTATGAGTAAGTGGGCACGCAGGCGGCTACAGCAGCGAGGAGGGAGAAAATCGTCAGTTTTATTCATAGAAGCCACGCGGGACTGGGCCTTAAGATCCCACCAGCTATAGGTTAGGTGTGATAGGAGCTGTAGTTGGTCTGTGGTTGCAGCGGATGGAGCCACTTGGACTACAACCCAAGCAAGCAACCTGAGCTTCCTTATGCGCCTTGCTTTTGCCTACCCGCCACCCTTGAAACATATTGAGCAACCTCTGCAACTCCTCACGACGTCTCGTTGTGTATTGTCGCGAAGATATTTCCCTCGTCTTGCTTCTCGTAGCTTTGCTATCCGCGATTCCGCATCTGCGACTTCGACTCCCCCGCAATGTCTGGACAGCAACCCCATTATCCTCGTGAGTCCTCGATGCCCATGTTGCCTAGCTCTCTGGCAAGCTGGTTGGAAGTATGACGGCTAACCGCAACTGCATAGCTCCCCCCGGCGCGCAAGGCCCAGGTTCGTTGCTCCCCATGGCTACAGGGAATGAGCCCAATTGAAGATATCCACGACTGACCGAGCTTCGTTGGAAGCTTCACCTTCGGCGCAGCTACCCCAATATGCCCCTCCACCATCGCAAGCATCCCCCGCGCAGTCGACGCAATACTATCCTCCGCCTCCCTCTCAGTCCTCGTCCGGACAGCCGACCAGCTACCCACCGCCCCCGGGTGCTCAGCAATCGCCCTTGCCCGGGCAGGCGACGAGCTACCCTCCGCCGCCCTCACAAGCATCGCCATTAGGTTCGGGTCAACAGTATCCTCCCCCACCATCCCAGAACACACCATCTCCGACACTTCGATATTCCGGCCAGGCCCAATACCCACCCCCGCCCTCGGCTCCTCTGGCCCAAGCTCAGCCTTCGCCTCAGCAGCAATCCTCACAACCCGGTATGGCTTACCGTCCGTCCTCGACATCACCTTTTGCGTCGCCCCAAAGCGAAGCCCCTCCTCCATTCCCCAATTTGGACGCAGATTATCTCCCTGAAAAGAAACAGCAGGAGATCCAACAGCCACTGCAGCAGCAGCAGCCGCCGCCGCAGCAACAGATGGTTGCAAGTCCTATCAACCAAACTGCTGGAGCTCCACCTGCGGGACAGTTCGTGGGCGCAGCAGCCGCACACGATGATGTTGGAGTATTCAACGGAGGAAGCTACCGAATCAGCCACCGTGATTCGAACACCATTCTTACTATTCAGTTGGCAATGGGTTGCCCACTTGAGGGCAAGCCGGGTAGGTTACCCCAAACACCCGTATTCTCTCTGTTGTGTATGGTGGACCGGATCTGAACTTGCTGAATTCTAGGTGCTATGATTGCCATGTCACCGACCGTCACACTCAAGGGTGCTGTGAAATTCAGTGTAAAGAAGATGATTGCTGGTGGTGAACTTGGAACCTCGACCTTTATCGGCCCCGGTGAAGTCCTATTGGCACCTTGGATGCTTGGCGATATCACGAGTATTCGCCTGAACGGAAGCGAGCATTGGTCCGTAGGGCATGACGCTTATTTGGCTTCGACCCAAGGTGTCATCAAGGACTATAAGCGCCAGGGTCTCGGAAAGGCCATGTTCAGCGGCGAGGGGCTTTGGGTGTACAAGATCAGCGGAAAGGGTCTCTTGTGGGTTACCAGTTTTGGCGCCATCATCCGCAAAGACGTGAGTATTTCCCCCAATTCGTGGTACAGGTAGTTTCGCTGACGCTCATTGGGTAGCTTGTGGAAGGTGAGAAGTACATTGTTGACAACGGTCACCTCATTGCTTGGAACGTCAAGTATGTAATGGAGAGAATTGCCTCTGGTGGCATCATCTCCGGTATTGCCTCTGGCGAAGGTCTTGTCTGCAAGTTCACCGGCCCGGGCACTGTGTATATCCAGACAAGAAACGCGGTACGTGCTGGTTCTCATGTGTTGTTGTCTCTCCTGGAATCGAGCTAACACTTCCCACAGAAAGCATTCGGAACCTACATGTCTGGCCAGGCTTACCAAGGGTAGTTGCAATCAGCGGGTGCGGGCGGGAATGATTGGGAGCTGTCTGATTGAGATTCATGAAATGATGAGCGGCAAGATTGATAATGTGCATTGGGCGCCTGGCTTTCGATTGTACTGTACTTGTTCTAAGCGAGATATTCTATCCAAAACTCTACCTGAGTACCTACCAAAGGAATCCCCGCGCAGGCTTTACCTATGCTTTGGTACATCGGGACCTAGAATCTATGCCACTGCCCCTCGGTATGGTCTACTAATATCCTGCCTGTCTGGAGCCTTTGTCCACCATGAATATGCTGCAAGTTTCTCTCCTTGACCAATCTGCCTAATCACTGAAGCTAAACAGGCCACTCCCCAGTAGGATTATGTGCAACAAGTACCGATTCTACCTATGACTCGGTACATTAGTGGTTTGGCAGTGCTGCACTTTCCCCTTAAGGAAGCCAGCCTAGGAACCAGCTCGAGGGCGTTTCCTGCTGCCTAAAGCCACCACTTCACATCATTCTCACCTCGCTCTCACCCTGACTCCAGCAGATCCAATACGCTGGAAATGGGCTTTTGGGTAGCAGAGCACCTTCTGCATATATATACAGGCCCGCCATTCTTCCCTTCCTACTCACCCACCGACACATCTCAACCTCCTCAAGATCTCCTTGAAGGATCGCCTCAACCAGCTCTTTGGCTTCGTCGTCGACTATCTTCCGTTTTCATCATCGTTCCGCTTCCCTTCTTTTTGGAACTTTACTGCGTAACTATCGTGCTACTATTTACGGCCAGAGCAAAAAGCACCCTCCTGACAGCATTAGGGCGACTTCCTTGCCCAATTCCATGCCACCATAGCCGTCATTATCCTACATTCCCGGCCCTTCTACCATCAGTGCCATCGCGTGTTGTTTCTTGGCTGCTCTGGATTTTTGCTGATCGGCCTGCTTTCGTCCCAACATCGAATCTCAAGGCCTCGTCTCATCTTCCTTTCTCTCTCTCGACTTTTCCGACCCAGCGATTGAACTCAATCCTACGCAGCGTTGGATTGTAGTTTGAGAATGTTCTTTTCTTTAGCAAGTTTCTGAAAATCAGCTTCTTCGTTGTTTCTGAACTGTGACCTCATTGGAGTACTCTTCTGCTACGACTTTTGTGAACCCGGCGTCAGCGCTCTTGCTAGGTAGAGCTGCCTCCATGTCAAGACAACGGCTGGGACTGTAATTAACCTGTTGTCAGTTGTGTCTAGGTTCGACCCTGGCTTTTATTTGCATTGCTCCGCATATTATCGATCAACACGAAAAAGTCGTCCGAGAAGCCCTCTCTATCAAGTAAGGAAAGAGAACCCAAGACAGTGAAAATGGTCTAACTCCGAGTCTAGTGGGCTCCGTTTCTGGAAGGGCGAGGCCTTTTAGGCTCAGGCGTTCCGGGCAGACAAGCTCTGGCGAAGATCAAGATTCCCACCATGGACTATTGCCGCCCCGGATTGGTCTTGAGGCTGTAGGAGGAGCCGAAAACGATGAGCGGTCGTCAATGTCTAAGTTCTTCGAGGCTATGAATAACCCAGATTGGCGCCAACGTGGGAGTCAGACCGGATCTGATGAGTCCAGTTACCCTGACCTGGCTGCCAAGAAGGCCATACGACGAGAAAAGCCAGTAAAGCGAGACAGTGCTGAGAACCGGCGGCAGCTTTTCCCTTCTGAACCAAGCTTTCTGAATACCCTGAATGCTAATATCTCTCAACCACGGCCTCCCAATTGGCATCCACCATCTGCCGAAACAGAAGACGGGGTTACCTGCAACGAGATGAGAGATATGGGACTGGGTGCGATTCAGTCGAACCAGACGATTGAGAACGGGGGAAAAGCATGGGGGATGAGTATAATCGAGATTGTTCCTTTTTGTGATGGTGGTGGTCAGCCTGCGACCCAAGGTCGTTCTAATGTTACTTCCTCAACAGCATCCAACATGAATAATGTTGTGGAGATTCGCCATATGGGAACGCGTAAAGCTCGAAAAGACAGTAGCTTTTCATTCTTGGGTCAGGATCAACATGAACAACTTGCTGCCGCTCTCAGAGGGGCCGGTGAGACTCCAAAGAAAATGAAAAGACCCGAAGTATTCAGCTCCATGTACGAAGACTCGACCGCCGAAAACACGACTAGATCATCATCGGTTGAGATAATCCTCTCCGGTAGCCCTGCTCCAGATATTAGTTTGTTGAAACGACAACCCAGTTTTTCGGCTCCACGTGAACCCGAGAATAAAGTGAGCTTTCTGAGCCACGAGCGAGGCGGAAGTATCGAAGGAGGTCTTGCCAACAATATACCCAGAGATGCCTTTGGTAGAATGCTCCAACGATTGCACAAAAAGATGAACACGGACCAAACATCTCAAGGCATCGAAATGAAAGATTTCCAGCCCGAAAAGAGCAGCAAATGGGTGGGATTTGGAGGACCCGCGATGAGCGAAAATAGTTCCTCGGATTTGGGATATGCCAGCATGCCATAGAATGGCCACCTGAGTTCTCGTACGAGGGGAGAAAGCAATTCTTCCTCAGGATCTACCTTCAACCCAAAAGCCAGGGAGTTTTTCTCCCTTGTTGCTGGGATCTCACCAGACACTGGGGGCATCCAACCAAGGAAGCCTCTACGTCCTGATCTCCAAGCATATTTTAATCCCAGTCCCGTTGCACAGCCGTTGGAGACGGTACAGAACAAGGGGTACGGCCAAGACACCCTTACTCTGCCTATCCAAAGCGGACTTCCCTTCGCCATGTTTGACCCTAGCGCCACATTGGGGGATATACAACTTCCCACCTTGCATTCTCAATTTGCTGAGCAGCCTATTGTGAAGCCCATTCCCCAGTTGTACACCAATCCTGCCATGGCATGGAGTGCCCCCAGCCCAACACCAGCCCAGCATGCAGGCCCAATGCCAGTCGGTATGTCGAACGGGGCCTGGTCCGGCACACTGCCGGTGCCTCCGATGTTTCCGGGCATGATGCCTGCGCTTGCAGGGCCATCAGTAGAGCCCCTGCATTCTACTCTCGGGTCTACCACATCGTTCCAGAAGCCAGCAACCATGCACCCGATAAACCCTCCTCAAGGATCTCAGTTTCCTACCAATGCCCCTGCCCAGAGACACCCGGTGCCGAAGCCTCGGGTGCCTGACCCTGGCGACCAGCAGGCATACGAAGCGTGGATCGAATGGCGCAAGGCAAACGAGCCTGGTTATGCCATAGAGTGTAAGCTAAGGCAGCAACGTCGAGCCCAAAGGAACATGGGAAGCAAGCCACATGCACATGCTCCTCGAAGCCTGGAAGTGAAATCAACCGCTTAACGAGAAGAACAGTTCCATCAGCCCAAGAACAGTCCAGCGTATGTGTCAAAGCTCATATCACACCCCCTTTGTTTTATATCCGGAATATGGAAGTCTAGCAATTATGAGAATTTTGAGTTCGGTCTGTTCCCCCCCTTTACTGTTTGAGGCAGGGTGGGTTTTTAATAAGATAAGAGCGGTGAGAAAGCGAACGCAACAAGATCAACCCTTGAGACGATGGTATGGCAGTAGGGCATCATGGCAATACTAGTAGTTTAGGACATGATTAGTCGAATGTAAGATACTCAAGGATAACCGATTAGCTTTCACAGGAAAACAGATTGTATATCTTAGACTATTTCCACTCTGTCCTCGGCGCAAACTACGCTTTCAAGTGCCCGTCCCGTGTGAACGCAGAGAGTCTGGATGATCATAGTTAGATAGTCCACACGTAAGAAAACGTATTGTTTATTTAAGCAGCGAAGTAAAAACAAAAAACAAAGTCTGCGAGTCGTATCTGATAAAAGACTCGTTGCCCATGAAGCCCAGCGACACATCATAAAACCCGAGAGGCAAGTTGAGAAATTCCGACTCCTATGCTAGTACTTAAAGGTGGTGGTATCTTTTTTTTCTTCTGAATTTGAAAACCTTTCTCCGCCAAAGACCCAAAACCCAAAACCAGCCAGATTCCCGAAATAAAGCATCCATCTAGACATTTCCATTGATAAAGGAGCGTCAACATTGAGAAAAGGAAGGATCGAACATGAACCACAAAAGAAAAAAAGTGAAAAGAAGCCAAGAAGAAAGAAGGGAAGAAGAAGTTAAAAAAAGTGGGAAAGTAACAACGAGTGAGGAGAAAGAAAGAAAGGCAGCAATAGAAAAAAGCAGATTGACATAAGGAAAAGTGAAAGAGACTGAGCCTAAGAATGGGGAGTGGAAGAAGGGAGGGAACCCCCCCTCCAACTAGATCGAACAAGACACGGGAAGTGTAAAGTGTTTAAGATTGAAGCTTACTTGCGCTTCTTGTACTTGGACTGTTTCTTCTTCTTGGAAGGGAAGCAGACCTTCCACTGGCCGGAAACGCGCTTGATCACACCAACCTCGGGGGCCGAAGCCCACTCGATAAGGGTGCGGTCATTGTCGCCGCCGATGACGATGTCGTCCGCGTCGCCGGAGGCGGCCATCTCCATGTGGCGGGCGGTGTGCTCCATCCTCTGGTCCCAGGCGTCGTCGCCCTCGAAGGAGAGGTTGCAATCAGGGCTTGGGCACTCCAAATATGTGGGGGTCGAGCAGCGGATGTGGATTGACTGTCGGAGCAGGATCTTGAGCAGGTCCTCCCATTGCTTGAGGGACTGCTTCTTGGTTGCCGGGTAGGGGTGCATGCGGCGTATGTGGGAGTCGTAGAGGTCCTTGCGGTTGAACTGCTTGCCCTCGACGTCGAGGTACTTGGTCTGGGATCGGGTGGGCTTGTCATTGTTTTGGGCGCAGACGCCGTAGGTGCAGACGTTGACCTTGGCGACGACGTGCTGGGACATAACGTGGCGCTTCCACTCGTTCTTGGCGGCGAACCTGTCGTCGCACCCGGCGAATTGGAAGATGCAGAAAAAGGGGCGGGCGTGGTCCGACTTGATGTGCTTGTCGAGGGTGTTGTAGTCCTTGCACGAGAACTCGCACTTGTTGCACTCCCAGTCGCTCAGCTGACTGATGGCGGCAGTGAACTTGCTGTGGAAGATGTTGATGGCAGCGTTGGCCTTCAGGTTGCTCTTGGCTGTCGACCGCTGTCGAGGCTTCAAGACCTTGGTAGGGCCGGGGGTCTTTGGTGATTGCTTCCTGTTCTTGTTCTTGCCGGTGGTTTTTGGCTTCGATGGGACACTGGCCGCGATCTGTGGTCTTGTGAAGGAGGACTTCGGGAGGGGATGCGGCTGCATTGGCGGGGACATGAGGAAGACGGGTGGTATTGTTTCGAGAGCTTTCGCTGGGATGTTTTCCTCCTTTAGGGGAAAAGGGGTGCTGGTATTTGGCCCCAGGCTGGGCCTGAACGATGGGATCTGATTTGGCATCTGGACATGGATAGTATTGCCCACTACCTCGCGAGTGTCGTCTGTGATGCTGAGACCCATGAGGGCGGCTCGAGGAGTGGAATGGTCCTCCTCGGCGAAGGCTCCCGGCGTGGAGGTCAGGAAAGCAGAGTCCAGTGGAGTTAGAGGGCGCTGAGACTCTCCATACCGCAGGAGACTCCCTTGTCTGACGGGACGGGAACTGTTTGGTGGAAGCGAGGGCAGCCGAAAGGAGTCGGGTGTGGAGGATCGATCATTGGGCTCGAGTGTTGGTGTAGCGGGGTAACTCATTCCCATAGAGGGAGTTCCAGGCCAAGGAGTCGGGGTCATCTCCCAAAGCCGGCGTGGGTCTTCTTCTTCCTCGAGGAATCTTTGAATTGTAGCTTGTTCAAGACTGTCGTCTCCCGCTAGAGCTGGGTCAAGACCCGACAAGTCGTGGTGTTGATAGAAAGAGTCGGCGTGAGAATACTCGTTCTCACCGTCCAAGACGGCATATGGACTGTTGAAGTCCATGGTAGCAAGGAAAGAAGAGGTAGGGAATCAATTGGTTAGATTGAATAACAAATATCCGAGTAAGGCGATGGCTTCTGGTAAGGGAGGCTTTTGTCTGGAGAAGTATGTCTGGAATATCAATCTTGTGTAATAAAGGCCATCCGTTGTACTGGATCTGGAGATAGTTGCTTGTCTGAGAAGGGCAGGTGGCACCAAGGTGGGCAAGACAGGAGTGTGTAGGTGGGAGATGCCTGTCGAGGAGCCCGAGGGACAGGGCCGAAGAGGCAGGGCAAGATATATGTCTTTTCCCAGACGACGAGAATGTATGTATGGCACAGGATATGGAGACGCAAGGGGAATAGGCCCAGCAACTGGTGAATGAAACATGGACTGGGTACTGGGAGACTCCCCAGGTGCCAGCAGAAGCTCCCCATACCTTCTATCTCACTCGAGGCCTGCTCTAGGCCCACCGCCGCAGAGCCTCACGCTACAACAAGCCAGCTCCGCGGGCATTGGGGAGTCATTTGAGCCAGCAATAGCTTTTCTCACTCTTACATAGATCCACGCCGAGGGTACGGGAACACCCTGGGCATACATACATGGCTCACTGCTGCTCTGGCTAGCTGAATCCAGTGGCCGGGTGGTTTTTTCAGATTGCCGGTTCATGGACCAGGATCTCTCAAGCTGGGAGGCTGCTGACCCCTCGCTCTTGGCCCACTCGCCAGAGCGTGGTAGTAGCAAATGGTTCGCGAACGACGGCCGAGTCTTCACTGCGGGTAGCGCACTAGCTACGCCATGCTTGTGACACAGCGAATGGGCTTTCAGTCCCGCCCGAGTCCATGGTTGTATCTTGTTGCCCCAGAAAATTCCACGATGGAGCTATTTTCTAGACCCTACTGCTTGCCGCCGGGCTAGTAAGGGGCTGAGGTCTGTGGTGGAGCGGAAGGGGGGAGGTGGGATGTGCGTCAGAGTGAATCCAGCGGCGATAATTATAATTACCTATGATAATAATAGAACGAGGATCACCGCCAGAGTCAGTCTTTCATCAGGACAAGGGAAGGCGAAAGCGTAGGGCATAGCAGAGGGAAGAAAATACGGAAACGAGAACCGACAGAACCATCAGGGATGATGCCTGTGAGAGAAGATGGTCTGACTGGGAGCTGTAAGGCGACCAGGCCCAGAATCAGACTCGTCGTCGGCTTTCTGTCGAGCGATTCGGGCGTGAATGTGATTTTGTCGGAGAGCACCCAAGCATGATGCGGTCTGGACAAGAGTGACCAATAGCGATCAAAAGAAGTCTGTCGGCGAGGTCCACATAAATTGACTGGAACAGGAACGGCATGTTGTTGGAATGCTGCGGGACATGGCGCTATCGTCATCTGTAAGGTATGTATGTATGGAGACAGACAGACAGACAGACAGGTTTGCTGGAGACGATGCAGGTGGAGGGGTGGGTGGAGATGATCGCCTCATCGGCGCCTCGCCTCCAGTGTCTCTGCTCTTTCCTGGGCGGTGGGATGATTATGATTGCTGGCTGGTACATGTCTTACCTTTGGGTAGGGTAGGAGGTAGGTCTTGTTACGGAGGGACCGACAGTCACTGCGACGGTAGCGACCGCAACCAGGCCTGTACCTACATGTATGTACCTTGATCAAATCAAGAGACAGGCAGGGCCGGGCGTTGACGCTTGTCTCTTGCACTTCCACCTCCACGAAGAGACATTGGCGGTTGCCGATAAGGTGCGCTCTCTGGCAATCTGAGCTGGATCTGTCCCGTGGCACAGCTGATCCAGCGTGTGCTGCAAGCCACATCGCCGACCTCATTCTCCTTCAGGCAAGGAATGCACCGTGCAGAGCGGCAGGCCAGGTGCGTAATGTCTTTGCCAGAACGCAGAAGCAGGTGGTCAAGGTTGTCCGATACCACTTGACCACCTCTGAAGAAGGGACAGCACCGGCGCTGATTCGCTGGCCCAGTCCCCCACGTGGTGCTAGCCGCCAGCCGCCGCCTCCAGGGGGTTTCCATTACCTACTATTTACGCAGGAAGAGGCGCCAAGTACCGGATGCGGGCAGCGGACGGGAGCGGTGGTGGGAGGGCACACGCGACAGCAGCGGTATGTTTAGAGTACATTTTGTAATACCAGACATCAGGCACTTGTAGTTGACCTTACCTTAGATTAGGGTGTCGCTGAGGCTGAGCGTGCCGTGCGCTAGGGGCCTGGAGGGGGCCCCTAGGTACTCGCCCACTAGGCCGCTATAAGGAATCACTGGCCAGACAGAGTAATCCGCGGATCGTCGTCGGGACACGCCGTAGTGCTCCACCACCCGCTCCAAGGCCACAGCCAATCACACTGCCGGATATCGCTGGTCCGGCGCTATAATTCCAGGTGGACCGGATTTTGGCTCAAGGTTCTCCGCCGCATCGCTGCTATTATGTATCTGGTCAGTTTTTGCTTCTTCACTCCAACTGCTCCGCCCGTTGCAGCCATGTGTGAATATCTGCAGTCGGTGAATTCCAGAGTCTCCACCCGCTAGCGCACCGGTTGACTGGTGAAACTGTCGTTATCATCTCCTAGCTAATGTTATTGACATGCGCACCAGTTGCAGGGCGCACAGCTGTGTCGAGATGCCGTCCGCCTGCGCTGGGCGACCCGACCGACGTTTAGGTGGTGCGCACACCAAATCGAGATTGGGCTGCAGGCGGTAATTTAACAACCCAGCTTGCGTCACCTCGAATCTGCATGGCACCCTCTCTAGGGGTTTGCACGTCCTCGACTCTGGCCTGCCTTCCATCGATCGTCCTGCTCGCCTGCGCCCGAGGGTGTGGCAGCGCAATTTGACTAGGAAATCCGCCGCCATTCTGCCTGGAGACAGGACCACCTGCTGGCTGATGCATGTGGCCATTTCCACCAGCATCCCCATCCTCCCACTTGCAGATGCCGGATTCCCACTGTCCCAGTGATATGGCTAGCCCATGCCAGGTCAGGGGTTCCCAGAAGGCCCATTCTTCAAGCACCAGGGATGACAAGAGTTGGATCTTCCGAGAAGCCAAATGCCAAACCAGACCCGTCTGCTGATTGCCGTGCATGAAATGGAGCAAGATGATGATCGCTGGGTACGTGCTTTCGTCGCGCTCTCCCCCTTTCCCCCCTTCCCAGTCCCCGCCACTCTTCTGCATATGCTGTTGGTCGTTCAGGTTGTCTGACCTACATGCCTACTAGGTAGCAGGTACCAACCTTCCCAGGAAGTGAGCTTTTGGGACACTCTGCATGGGGCGGCGGGTTTCCAGTCGTCTCCTCCCCCCCCTTTCCCATTTTTCCCAGTACCAAGCAAAGGGAAAAGAGGAAAAAGCAACGTGCACTCTTGCCCACATTATTGACTTGTTGTACAACGCTACGGCCCCTTGGGATGACCCACGCCTCCCGATTACCCACCCCGACACCCCGGCCAGGCGGTTAGTTTTGCCTGCCCTGCCCTTGCCCTGCCCCTCCGCCCCGCAAAGAAGCAATCTATCAAATCGGGGCTAGAAAAGATGGCGTTCATGTAAACTTATCATGGTCTGCCTATTCGGAACCCTCAAGCACGATTTTGCGGGCTCTGATCTCGCGCCTAGGAGGGGGGGGGGTCTGTGCTGGACGGCAGGCTCAGCTCGAGGAAGATCCCGTCTGGAAAGAGCCAGGAACTGCATCCGCGGTCTCACCAGGAGACGCACGAGCAGACGGCAGCTATCGATCAATACCGCCGGCTGACTGTAGGAGCCGGGCTAGTGTAGATAGGAATGCTAAGCACGGGGACCGGGCTAGGTCCTGGGACAGAGTAGCCCATCTAACCACGGCACGGGGAAGGGCCGCGCAGCGTAGCACCGTCGTGTATGCCGCCAAAACGTCATGGCATGTGCATCGGCCAGCATCGATGCGAAAGCCAAGCACGCCAAACCAGAAAAGCCCCCCCAGTGCGAGCGCGCGAGAGAGGACCACATCTCCCACCCGCACCCCTCCTTGAAAGATCGTCTCCTGATGTGCATCCACAACTGAATCGTGAGACGTGCGGGGATCGCACTGGCCAAGCTCGCTTGATAGCAAACGTCGCTTCCGGCTAGTTGGTAGACCTCCCGCATGGGAAAAAAAAGCAAAAAGCCCGCCAAGCATAACAATCTAGTCCCACTCACCCTCGCCTACGACGATCCGACTGGACCAAGAGCCCAACGATGAATCTGACTGGCTCCGACCTTTGGGGTTGTTCCCGCTCTCTAGCCGCCCTCGAACGCCTCCCAGCACCCTTCTAGCTCGCAACCACCCTTTCTAATTCAGCCATGTTTGCGCATCCAGCCCAGACCGAGACTGAGTGAGAGAAGATGGGCGTGTGAGACACTCTGCCTTCAGCGGCTACCTCCCTATTTCCGCTTCACATACCTACATCCGCCACCTGCATCCAGATCATGTTCTCTCATCGACGCCACGGCGCAATCCCCCTATGGATCCTTCAGCCCCCAAAATCCCGCTACGTAATACTCACCCCGATGCTAGTCTCTCTTTTCTCACCGAGGCGGGCTCCACGCCAAATGAGAAGTGAAGAACGGGGGGGGGGAAATGGCTGTCCTGGGCGGCTACGAGCTGATGGGCAAGCCAGCCAGCGAAGGTCCTGGGCTGGGTCGTCGCCCAGATTTTGCGGGCTTTCCCCAAAAAAACCGATGTGTACTCACACAGTTGTGTCCAGAGGTGGTCCCCCCTCCCAGACGCCCAAGACATGCATGAATGGACGGTGACCTGACCTTTTGGAGTCGGCCGCAGTGCATGGGCTCATTTCCAGGCGGCCAGGGCAAGAAAGAAATTGAGATTTTATCATCAAGGACCCAGGTCACTTGCAGTTTTTGGCGCAGGGATAGTTTGGAAATTGACTGTTGATCATTCGAACGAGGTTCGTAAGCTAGAGCAAATAGATATCCTATGGTAAATAAGGGGAGAGTTCTGAAAGAAACCTCTCCCGGTAACAAGATCTGATAGATAGAATTCCTAAAAAAAATAAAAAATAAAAAAACGCCATCATCGCTTTTAACCTGCTTTCCGCGCATCATCGTCATCATCATAATTTTCATAATATATCGGTTATATAGGTTGAGCTGATGCCCGTCATTAACGTATGACCGCTTCCTCAAGCGACTTGGACTGGTATCCAAAATTCCCCCCAACTAAAGAAAAAAAAAAAATCAACAAGGAGATGGAGTAGGAATGAAGATAGCCCAAGACTGTTAATTAAATGCACCATCATTCTCGTGAAAAGGGAAAAGGAATAAGTAAAAAAAGGGAATGTGTCTCAAACAATGCTAGTATGTGGCTGTTTGGAAGGGCGTGCATCGGATGCTGCACTCAGCTTCCTTTTCCGCATGTTGCCTTCCTTGCTCAAGGCACGCTTGGCTGGCGCCTTGCGTTCGGTGTGTGCATTTTCCATGTGTAGCCATTCCGAAATGTTCATCTTGGGCTGATCACGGCGGCCCATGAAATGGTCGTCAATGTGATCGAACCGAACACCCTGAGGGTCGTTTGTGTCGCTGACAAAGGGGACCATGCAGCGGCAGAACCCACACCAGAATGAGGACATGGAGTGCATGTTCTGCCTGTTGTCCTCGAGCTTCGCCTCCTTGGTAGGGAGACTCATCTCATGATGAGAGCCCTCCAAGTGCAGCTTGAACTGGTCGCGGCTGCCGAATACCTTGCCACAGCTCCTATCACATGCCCACGTCTCAAGCGGGGTGTGTTGTTGGCCTTCGTGCCTTTTCCAGTCGTTTTTGCTACCGAACGTCTTCTCACATTGATAGACCGTACACCCGTAAGGCTTTTCATGCCGCTTGCTGTGTTTTCTATGCCATGTTAGCAATGTGCCCAAAGGCCCCGATGATTTATGCTGATGGTACATACCTCAGCTCGCATGGCCTGATGAACACTTTCCCGCAGAGGTTACACTCCACCTTGCCCTTGATGCTAGCAGTGGATTGGGAGGCATCCGTCTCGGGGGCTTCTTCCCTTTGACGCAATGCCGCTTGCAACATTGCTGCGGGCACCGAAGCAAGGAATTCTAGCTTCTTGTCCTTGGGCAAGGCACTGAAGTATTCTTCAAACTTGTCCTCATTGATTTCAACTCCCCCCTTCTCATTTTCAGAGTCATCATCGAGGGCAACAAACTGCTCTTCATCTGCGACGCTCTCCGATGAAACGGAAGCTTGGGAGCCAAGGTTAGCCTCGTATGGCGACTCGGAAGGCTCCATCTTAGCACCGGGGCTCATCATTGAGCTAGGGCTGATTGAGCGCGCAAAGCTTTCTGCGGAAGGATGAGAGCCAAAGGCGGCCGGGCCCATGTGGCTGCCGAAAGAATCATCTTGTGGCACCTCGAGGAACCCATTCCCAGAGTATGGGTTGATCCCTTCGAGCGAGACATCAGGAGTGTAAAGTGGTGTCTCGGAGGCTGCTGGGAAAGGGTTTGTGTTCGCAAACTCGGCAATTTGTTCAGCCCTGGTGTGTGGTGCAGCGGCGAATAATGATTCAGTGTGGAGAGTCGATGGCTCGTGTAACTTGGCTCCCAAACCCTGTAGATCATCGGGAACGGGTCTTTGATGAGAAGTGTCAGCACCATTACTTGGGCTGCAAGGGTTCATTGGGACACATACTCATATAGATAACGCTGTAAGTCCTTGTCACCTTCCTGCTCAATCTTGTGGACCCTCTTCAAATGCGAACGGAAGTTATCGGTTCTGGGCCATTTCTTAGGAGGGGTCTCCTTCGCACAATCCCCGTTGGAGCAGATGTAGGTCCGCCCCTTGAGGTTATCGCCGTGGACGGTCCGTTTGTGTCGCACGAGGTCGTTGTTGGAGGCAAACCCAACTTGGCTCTTGCTGCAGTCGCTGCGGTCACATGTAAATGGTCTGGATTTACGAGCACGGTGCTTTCTGTATGCTATTAGAATCTCGGGCGGATAGAAATGGGACGAACAGAGACGTACTTGAGCTCGGATTTATTTTTGAATGCAGTATTACAACAATCACAAGTTAACCCATCTGGCGACATGGGAGTGTCAGCCGAGAATTGCGACCCAGTTTGCTGGTCAAGTACTTCTGGTTGTACAACGATCTGGAGACCACCGAGTTGATTTTCGAAGCCCAAGGGATTTGGTGCGGAGGGGTAATGGTCATCGCCACGGATAGAGGTGGTTTCGATGCTCTTACCATACCCGGAATCATCAGGCTGCGTCTCGCCGCAGTCTGAGGGGATGAAGTTGGTCCTGTATGTTTGAAATTGAGGCGAATTTCTCAGGAACGGGACTGCCCCATTGCTGAAGACAGTTGAAGGAGCCCACGGCGCATCCTTGAGAAGCCAGCTCTGCATGGACTCGGACCCATCTCTCCTTTCCGGGTTTGGAATGGGGAGGGCGTCCTCAAAGTGATTGTCCTGGGAGCCAAACTGCCCGCCATGGGATTCCATGCCAGGCGCGGCATTGTGCATGAAGGAATACATCGAAGAGAGCGGCCGAGATGCAGGCCAGGTTGGATCTGCTGCCGTGTCGAAGCTGGGGCCAGTGGCAGTGAGTGTCCTATTGACCAAGGACCTTTTCACTTGCTACCTAGGCAGGTGGTTTTCTAAATTGGTTGTCGCCGTACCGAGTTCGATTGGGAGGAAGCGCAAATGTCCTGGGGCTCTCTGCGCGGCCTGGAAGGGTCAGGGAGCGAGCGGTTGCCAACAGGAACTGCGGAAGTCTCGAGATAAGCGCCAGGGCGAGAGCAAGAAGGCTTCGGCTTCGGCTCCGGGCGGCTGGGCAGGATCACAGCGGGAACGGTTGAGGGACACGATGCCTTGGGCGTTGTCGGACAAGAAGCCAGGCAATGATACAGCTGCGCCGTTGTACCAAACAGCACGCGCCACAGCCAGCCTTGAACCGCACTCTTGGATGTGTAAGAAGGCGGCCAGCTACAAGTGGCAGTGAGGCCGACGATGTGGAATGAGAAGGCAGAATTCAGACAGTGGCGAGGAGAAGCGGCCGGGTCACACTTGGGGAATCCCAGCTCGTAATGAATTGAGATGAGCAATGAACAGAGTCGGGCTACGTAGGTCAGTCAGTTGAAGTCTTGCGCGGTCAGGCAGCACAGCATCGAGAGTGGAATTGAGGCGATGCTGGACGCCTCGCTGCGCCGCCCCGAAACAGTGAGGCGGGCGGGCCCAGCACCAGCAGGACCGCTCCGAAGACCCTGTAGGCCCGGAGAGACACTGTTGGAACAGCTGCGACGGTTCGCAAATGGTTCGCCTGCTGCCAGGGGCCCTGTGCCGCTTCTAATTGGGTCCAGCATGCCGCCGTGCTGCCCAATTGCACCGCTGTGTCAGGTCCCTCTCAGTGGCCCTTTCCTTTTTCCTTTAACCCCGCAGCGTCACAAGGCAGCAGCGAGCACATCACCAGACAACCAGCTGCAGATGCAGAGCTGTCCTGTCCTGGACTGGACCCTTCCGCACACAACGACACGACAGTGCTACGTACATGCGCTGTATGCGTTCGTTTGCCGTACACTCACCGGTTTCGCCCACCCGAAAAGCAAATTTTCCATCCGTAGGACGCAATCACTCATGGATGCTTTTACGGCTCAACGGCGGGTCTCTGAGCGCCCATGCCGTCATGTCGCCATGCAATGCACCTTGCTTTGGGTGGGCGCGGTCTCTAAGCCACACTCACTGCTGCTGTATCATACGTGCATTTCCTGACACCACGCTTGTAGGCATGCAGGAGGTGCATATTTTCCTGTGAATCCCGCGATTTGAATGGCCGTAGATAGAAAGATAGGCCGAGATCCAGCGTCTAGTTTCGGGCCTGCGACGGAATGAAGCCCGCATGACATTGCTATTGATGCATCCCGAACGGTGAGGTGCCAGATTCGTGGTAGTACCTAACGACCAGGACAGAATGTTGCAGCCAACGCCAAATCGTAGACGACACGATCAGTCCGCTATTTTTTGCTTTTTTGGAAATGGCGGTCTTTGACCAATTCTCAGCCACCATGTGCTTATTCTCTTCCGTAATGCGAAATCTCCCCCCACACGCACCTGTTCCGTCTCCCCAAGACATTTTACCCAACGCCGAGCGGAGGGATTGTCTTGTACGTAGTGATAAGCAGCCTACAAAAAAAAGGATGTAAAAAGAAAGAAAATTGAGACAGACAAGGGGCGTGTCACACAAGTTCCTGCCTCACAAGTCTCATATCTCCTCGGAACCAAGTCGAGACGGGAAGAGACTTGCAGAGGATTCGGCCGAGTCAATCAAAATTCGAGTTCACTTCCGTTCAGGTCTGGCACGCATGCGAACTTCATTACCAATCATATTCATCATTAACAGTTCGCTCGTCATCTTGTCTAGGTAGCCATGAGCTTTCTGCGGCCAACGTAAAAGTGACTATGTATCGAGTTTCCTCATAAGCATATATCGCTCCCTAGTGCTGGAGACGGGTTGCCTCATCCTATAGCAGCGCCGCCCGAAATGTAAAACCGGGTCTATTTATTCTTCAGAAGCCCATTGTGATGTCAACCATGGTGGACAATATCATTCATGAGGTCTTCATCCTCGATCTGAGCATCAAAACCACCCGCGTCGGAATCGTCCTTGTCAATCCGTTTCTGTTCGCGAATCATGAACCGAACGTAGTCCCTATGGCCGCTCAAACGTTCATTCGACGCCTTGTACTCCTGACTCAGAAGGTTGATATTGTGGTGAGCTTGTGCGATCTCCTTGGCGAAATCCTTCTCCGACGACCATTCCTGCTCGTCTCGGAACGTTAGGAAGCTTTCGCTATCCGGTCCAACTGTAATCTCGCCCTTGAGCGTTTTGTTGTCAATCATTTTTTGCACAACGCTAATAACTTGTTGCGGATTAGCCAAGGGCTCTCCTGTCTCGCCGCTTGACGTTGACTCTTGAATTTTGTATATGGAGACTTCTCGGTAGATCCGTCGAAGGTTGAGGATTTGCCACTTCTGGTATGCAACCTGAACTTCTTGGATAAGGCTCATGTTTCCATCTTCCAACCAAATGGGGCGGTTTGATTCGACCCCGCCCACGAATTCGATTGCATTCGGTGTGCTAAACAAGGACGCCACATCACGATAGCTTGAGGCCGTGACATTGTATGCCGACTTCGCCGCAGCTGATGTATATCCAGGGAATGACGGAACCTCACCATCACTAAGAAGACCAACTAGCAACCACTTCTTGTGCGCGTCGACCATGATTTTGCTGACACCTTTATCTTTCGTTGGATAGGCAATGACTCGCTCCAGGGCTTTTCGAGCCTTTGTCCATTCACGCCTCGACATGTAGATCAAAGCACGAACAAAGTCGTACTCCAATACAGTTGCCGCCTTCACTGGACCTGTCAGCCCAGTCTGTATCGAAATATAACTCGTGAGCGGGAGTTCAGGGTCACATAAGAACCGCTGCTCCTTCTGTCCTGCAATAGGATATGTCGTAATATCTCGCTCGAGGACTTTGAGGGCCGGTTCCACGCAGTCCGTCTCGTACGCGTAGTTTGCCAGGAGCAGATGTGTCGACGTAAACATTGAAGCGTTGGGGTCTAAACGGAGCATGGCCGTGGCAAGAACTTCGACAGCAACTCGAGGCTAGGTCCCGAGTCAGCAAGGGCCTCAATGGAGAATTGTAGGATATATCATACGGGAAAGAGCTTTCCGGCTCCAACCAGCTCCAACAATAGAAGCAATAAATTCCCTACATATCGAACCTGTAGGGGGTCGAAACTGAGAAGAATGACGACAATTGCATCCAGTAGCGAGGATCGTCCTATTCGAGGTTCGGAGACATTCAGTATGGCGTTGACGACGAAGAGATAACCGATCGAATTCTTAGCAGGATCAAGGAGCTGTACCAGATTTCGGTCAGTTAATTAGAAAGAACCTGCCGCGAAAGGTCCCTCTCACCTTGAGAATTGCCTCCGGTTGTTCCAAAATCAGCCTTTTAGATGAAGCAGACAGCTTGGCGAGAGCAGAGACATAGACCCGAATCAATTCATCCTGCTGTTTGAGGGTGGTGGACGAGGCCGAATTTGGCGGATAACTCGTCAATACGGAGGCTAGCTGCTCCATTCTATAGTCGAGACGCCCGCCTGCCTGAGTGATCTAGAAAGGAGCCTTGTTGTGGCTTGTTCGGCTGCCGTCGCTGCCTGCTCCAGTGACGAGAGTTGGGTTATGGAGGGGCAATTGTGGGCGTGAATAGGCCTGTAGTGACTTGCGTGACCAGTAGTAGCTACGCAGATAATTCGACGAGATAAAAGCGAAGGGAACCACAGACTGGGAAAACCAAGGCCCTGTTCATTCCACCACGGCCGATCGATGGCGGGTTTGGAGGTTGCGGAGTCAAGAGAGTGAGAGTGTAGGACAGAATAAAGACCAAGCTCTCGGAGCTTGACGCCTCTCTAGTCATCCCCAGCGCCTGCCTGACGTTGGGAAGGCTGCCTGGTGTAGCGTGATTGGCCGGCATTTACCCGCACTATGCTATATGTAGCACAAGGGGTGACATTAAAAGCAGCTCATCAAGGCCAACGCGAGAATATTTCAACAGTTGTTATTGTTTGTCAAACTAATTTGGGAGGGGACCCAAAAGATAAAGAGAAAAGTGCAAAAGTAAAATTTTCGCTTCTTCTATTCTATGATTAGTATTATCAGTCAAAGTTTACCTACTGTGCCTATTATATACCTTCTGGAGAGCAGGTGGATCATGTATTTGGTGTATCATGTTTTATGTCACCCATTTTATTACTATCAATCTTAGGCATATTGCTTCGCTCATCGAAAATTGTCATCCTTTTCTCAAAATACCGTATGAATTTTTGCGTAAGCTTATTTCCCTTGACTGCTAGCAGCTTTCCTTTCCACCATTCTCTCAAAGCATATTTTCACCTCCCAATCTCTGCGAATTCCGTCAAGCATACCCCATTCCCAGTCATGTGCTTCATGTACCCATATAGATATGGCATTCATATAGAAACATACAGCCCTTTATATGGAAAGTAACATCCACCAACGCTACCCCTCTACCTCTATCCTCTTAGACATCATCACTTCATTCACTTCGTGTTCTTCTTCCTCCCGGCTGCTAGCCTTGTACTCAACGTCTCAACTAGTAAAAGCTTAACTCTTGAGATGGTCGACCAAAGTGCTACTTGCGGCATCCAGAAGGTGGTCGGATGGCACCGTAAGGGCATCGATATGGGCCAGCCGAAAGAGTATAATCCGCTGTCTTGCTGTTAGTTTCGAGCCTTCGAGGTCATGTAAACGCAAGTCCAGACTTACACTGCTTCGTCAAATCCTTCACAGTCGTGCCCTCCTCCCACGGGCCACTGTTCCAAGGGGTACTGGCGGTAGGTACAGAACAGGCCTTTGTTCCATCCGCGGGAGGCGCCTCCAGAGGAGCCGTTGTCCCTGCCTGGTACGGGTTGGACAGGGTGCGGCGCTTCGCGGCGTTCTTGAACTCCTGCTGGCGATGCATCTCGGCCTGTTTCCTCTTCCACCAGGCCGGCAGGCCGTGGAAGAGACCAAGGGACTGCTGGGTTGCCTTGTCGTATGGCATTTCATGCTTGTAGCGGCAACCCTGCTGGGTAAAGGCACAGACACCTTCGTGAACCCATTTGTCGCAGTACTCCTTGTCCTGCTTGCTCGGCTTTTGGTGCTTCTGGACCTAGTTCCGTCAGTTAACACATCCTTTGTATAGCTTTCTAAAGTCGCGCGATCCGTTCTTCAAGGTTTGGGGTTTGTCTTCGTACCTGTTGAAGCGCGAGGTTTGTATTCTCCTGTAGTAACTGTCAGTCAGAAGCCATTCATTGTTCCGCACCTTACTCGGTGCGATTGGAGATGACCTACCTTGAATGTGACTGCTTGATGCATGTCTCCCATCACTACACGCGGATTACCTGGCAAGGGTGGCAGGACGTCCATGCCCTGAGACTTGTTCTCCATCCGAGGAATCTCGTTCATCGGTGGCAGCTGGTCAGCCGGCACCAGTCGTGTAACCTTTCCATTTCCCCTATCCAGGTAGTAGGCAGACTTCAAGGATGCTTGGTCCACCCATGAACCGGTGGAGCCCGTCTTGGTCGATGAGGGTGGTGAAGGGATGTAACTGGTCGACCAGTTCTTGGGATCAAACGACAGCGGCTGGGGGTAGGACCAACCGTAAACGCCTTGAGAAGGTCGAGAAGGCCAACCGGCTTGAGAGACCTGGTGACTTAGCGTACTATACCGGGTGCTGCCTAAGCTGTGCGAGTCTGGGCGGCCATAGTAGTCATAATTCAACGGGGTTGCAGAGCTGGGCATAGGGTGTTGGCAAGGCATCATAGGTAGCTGGAAGAGTCAAAGGTAGATGCTTTCAAGGAAGAGTTAAGACGAGTGCTATGCCTGCCGTGTGGGCAAATTTACATACTATAAAGAAGGAGAAGGAGAAGGAGGGACCATAATATAGGTGTTGAGGGCTTGGCTACGCGTGCTATTTGGATGGGATTATCACTTTGCCAGCGAAGCACATGTAGTGCTGCCAGCCACATTCACTAGGGTGTCTGCGCAATGGGACAGAACCAAGACATCGCACGTTTTTAAATCACAGGAAGTGGCGGCAGCGGTTCAGTGTTTCGGTCTGTCTAGATGTGAGCGTGCGATTCAAACGTTAAAGTGGAGGCAGACGGGTGTTTGCAGCAAACAACGGGTCTTGCCACAGAACCAAAAGGAATGGATCAATCAGATCGATTCTAAGCCAGCTGTATTCTAGATCAGGCACCCGTCCACCTTCGTACAACTTCCCTAGCTGCATATTGAGCCATTCCGCTTCCCGGCGGTGTGAATAAATGTCCTCTCTGTGTTTCTTCGTTAAGCCATAAGCCAGCCATTCCCGTCCGCATGGGAGAGTGTGAAGAGCAGGGGTAGGGGAGCACGGAACTGCTGGGCAACGCAAGTCATCTGCGAGTCTGCTTCCGTGCAATTAATGCATCCTAAACGCGTTCGTCATTACTCTAGGTCATCATCCGGGCCCCCCCTTTCTCTCCGGTCCTCATTATGTGTTGCAGCAATTCCATCTTCATTCGCTCTCTTGTGCTCAGGTCCACCCTAGAACGATTTAAGTGATCTAATTCAACTCGTAGATCTGCCTCTGAAAGATGAGGTAGCGTTTGTGGCACATAGCCAGGTGCAAGTGGTGGCATCAAATTAGCATTGGGTGCGTGCTGGTGGTGACCACCACCTCGATACTCAACCGCTACTTTTCCGTTTGAACGGAGGACGGCGATGTTTTGTGGGATTTGGCCTTGGCCTTGGGGCGTGAAGCCATTCGAGACTCCAGTGGGGGTTTGGGAGACTGTCGTGGGGGTGTAAGTAGGTGGGAGGTATGGGCGCCGTGCGTTTTCTGTTTTTTGTGATTGTTCTGTGGCGTACGCGTCTCGTTTCCTCCGGCTTTGGCCGTTTTGTGGGCGGGCTTCTTTGGTTTGGAGTTGAGAGATTTCTGTGCCGACTTCTGCTGTTGCGTGTTGTTACTACTACTCTTTGGTGGCCCCTTTTTGGTCGGGGTGGATGCTGGGGTGATGGTTTGTGTTGGGGTTGGTTTTCGTCGTTTACCTTTGGAGATAGCCGCCGAGTCATCCTCAGATTCGTCGGGCGTGTCACTGCCAGAGAACTCATCTGAGGACCCTTGAGATTCGGCCCCTGTTGCCTGTGCGATAGTGACAGGTTTGTAACTGATCGGCTTCGCCTATAGTCATGTCAGAAAACTAGCCACTGACACATCTCATCTCGCGTCATGTCAACTAGGTAGCTTACCATTCGTCTTCTTCCACCACGGCCCAGAACTTCCCGGTTAGCCTCTGCCTGTTTCCTGGCCTCTTCTTCTCGTTGTGCCAATATCTGATCCCAGACACTCGAGTTGATGGGTTCGGGAGCCTCGCTCTCCTCCAAGCCCAGGTTATCTTGAAATCCGGATGCATCATTCGACCATACTTTGGCAAAGTTGAATTGCTCCGCCGAACCTTCTTCCTTTTGGTCAGGCATCTCTTGATCCATCTCTGAACGGTCCAAAAGCTTATCAATCGACGCTGAGTCATACCGAATTGCAGTTTTCTGATAATCATCGCTGAACAGGGCCTGGGCTCCATGCTTGATAATGGATTCCAGGTCGTCTCCATCTATATCCTGGTCATCCATTGTTTCAATAAGGGCATGGTCCAAAGCCATTTTCTTCCGTCCAATTTGCATGATCCGCTCTTCAGCTGAATCTTTTGTCACCAGCTGGAAACATAGGACTCTCTTTTTCTGTCCTATTCGGTGAGCGCGTGATAATGCTTGAAGATCTTGGTGCGGGTTAAAATCGGGGTCCATGATAATGACGGTATCAGCAGTCGCGAGGTTGATACCTACACCCCCAGCTCGGGTCGACAAAAGAAACGCAAAGAGTTCCGAATCAGGTGCGTTGAATGCATCGATTCGCCTTTGCTTCTCCAAGCTACTGATGGTGCCGTCGAGTCTGCGAAATCCGTAGCCCATGCCGGTAAGAAAATCCTCGACAATGTTGAGCTGGTCGAGGAACTGGCTAAATATGAGGACTCTATGACCGCGCTCCTTGAGTTTTGGCAACATGAGCTCGAGAAGTATGAGCTTCGAGGAAGCCTGGACCAGATTCTGGTGCATGACTTCCGAGTCGTGATGGCGTTCTTCGATTGCATCCGAATACATGAAAGGGTGGCAGAGACACTTCCGTAGTTGCATCAGGATATTGTTTAGACTCCCACGCTCCTTCTTGCTAATTTTGGTGTTTGCAAACATGGCCTTGATCAGCTGAGGATTTTTGGCCAGAATGCTTTTGGAAAGCTTCTCCTGGATAACAGTCATTGTCAGAGGGACAATGATTTGCGCCATGGGCGGTAGGAATTTGAGGACTCCAGCTTTCGTTCGTCTCAGAAAATATGGCCGTATTTGCTCGTGTAACTTGGGCAGTGTCTCCTTGTCAAGCACCTGATACTCTTGGTCAAGTTCCATGGCATTTTGTGTCTCATCAATAAATTGAATCAGGTTAAAGAGTTCTCGCTTGTTGTTTTGCAATGGTGTTCCTGTTAGGAGAACACGGAAAGGTATTTTCATTGCCATGAGGGCCAGATAGAGTAGATTTTGGTCGTTCTTGAGCCGCTGGCCTTCATCTACCACCAGGCCAGCCCAATGGACAGGCTTGAAGAGAATTCGAGTCTGTGGATCAGCAGCAGAGTCATATGACATGATGACAACATGCGCCTTCATTTCTGTTGACCCGCCAGGGAAGAGTTCATACTTGTACGCCAAATCCTGAGGTACCTTGCCTCCATGATAGGTGACAACACGTAATTCTGGTGTCCACTGCTTGAACTCCCGTCGCCAGTTCGGGCATGTTGCATTTGGGACAACTATTAGAAACGGCCAGCACTGGAGCGTGTTAGTACGGAAGAAGTGTTTCGAGCTGCGGGAACATCATACCTTGGGGGAATCCTGAACTAGGGAGGCCACCAAACTAACCACCTGCACAGTCTTCCCAAGACCCATTTCATCTGCCAAAACAACGCTCCGGTTTCCGTGATAATTTCCCAGAAGCCAGTTGAGGCCTTCCAGTTGATAGCCCATGAGTTTGCCTCTTGTCAAACCCGCCGGCTGTACATCAACTTCAGTGAACTCGGCCTCTTTGTATTTATTGACCCGGTCCCGAATCTTAGAGTAGGGCTCGTGGTTAAAATATTTGCCTTCGACATAGTCGCAAAAAGCAGAGAGAAAAGCTTCGTGGAAGTGTTGGTCCATATCCTTGCTTGGGGGCGAAGCCCAAACCACGTCATCATAACTAAGTCCTTGATATTTGACGAATATCTTCCTGATATGAGAAACACTTGCCAGCTGCGCTTCCCTGGAATTCGGCTTTGGGGCAGAGCTCGCCATCTTGATGTCGAGTATAATTTCGGGCATCAGATACTCGTCGGGAATGGCATCTTTCTCGTTCATTCTCATTAAGCTCCGCTCCGCATCCCTCTTGGCAAAAGATACACGAGATGTCGGAGCAACTACACCATAGACCCATGCTCCGGGTTTCCATGAGCAGTGAGCATAAGAGAGGCTTTCCCACTTGACCAAGTATTCTTTTTTATCCTCGCTCACTTCTGAATGCAACAAGACAGAGGAATCAGCGTTTGCCGAGGATTGACTTTGTTTAGTTGGTCTCCAGGCAACTAGGCGGTGAATTTTCTGCGTCATCAGGCCACAGTCGTTGCAGAGCCAGTCAATTGAATAATCCTTGAGCTGCTCGACCCGCAGATCAGTTCCTATCTTCGTTGAGCCATCACCCTGAGGTGGCAAGTGCTTAAGATGCCAACCTCTATGACAACTCCTGCATCTGAACAGGACGAGACCCTCATTGTTGAGCAGAGTTTCTGAGACAGGAGTAATGGGATCAACCCCGCCATTCTCATCGCGAAGCTTTTCCTCTTGTCGTGCAGTTTTCTTTGATGAAAAAGCTGCACATGCTTTGCCATCTGCGTGGCAGCCTTGGCAAGCACCATATCTCGGCGCGATTGGGTCTTTCTTCCCGTAAACGCCGATACAAAATCGGCATTGCAAGACGAAGTTCTCTTCTCCAACTTTCGTGGCCATGTGCTCTCGGCCACTTCGGAAACCAAGACAGTTTTTATGGTATGACAAACTGCAACCCTGGCAGTGAACTAGCTGGCCTTTGAGCTTTGATCCACTACAAGTATGGCAAGATTCCATGTGAGCGGAGACAAAGGCAGAATCGGACGGCTGAAATATTTCTCGGATTGAGATGGCTCTAGGCGTTCCTGGCCCCTTATCGTCCACAAGCTCGAATGCATCATCCTCATCTACCCCGTCTTGCATGAACAGTTGATTCCTAGTGGCCCGAGAAGATCGACGAGGAGCCTCGAACTCAATATCTGAGTCAGGACTTCGTCGCTTGCTGGGTGGTTTTGGGCGACGCGACAACCTCTGTGAGCGTTGTTGAAGGCGTGAGCGGCGTGTCTTGGCTTTGGCTTGAACAAGATCTGAAGTAATAAAAGGAGGGTCATCATCACCATCTGACTGAGGGATAGGATCACCTGCAAGCTCGTCTCGATAATCTATGATCTTTTGAGGTCGTGCCCTCAAGGTGCGTGTAGGTAAATCCTTCTTTGGTTTCTCATCGTCCAGGTCAGATGGAGTGTTTTGAACATGGGAACTCTGCCGGCTGCTGCCTGGTCTCAAACTCCGAAGTCGGGGTTGGCGAGAGGTGACATCTGGGCTTGACTGAATGTCGAGTTCCTCATTTTGAT